GGTAACAAGAGCGAAACTCCGTCTCAAAAAAAAAACAAAAAAAACTCTTTTAGTCTATAATAGTTGCCCCCTCCTGCTTTATTTCCCTGGCCATTTCAAGGGCTCTTCAAGCTGTAGAATTTCTCAAATTAACAAACTGGGTTTAAGTAAATGCTTAGGGTTTACCTTAAAAATACTGATTACATTTTTAAGTATTCAAAAACACAATCACACCCTTTGCCAAGTCTCTTCCTCTTTTGCAGTGTAAGGTGTTATTTATTCAGATATCATTTTACCACATTCTTTAGGATTTTTATCCCTTTATACTTACAAAAAATGAGAAACATAAAATTGTGAATGAGGTTCTAAATGACACAAAAGGTATTTAGACCAGTTTCTGGCTTCCTCATTATGCAACACCTTTATTCATAAAACCCCATTTACCAAAGCAAGTATCTGTGTTACTACGTGCCGTTGCTGTGCCCTGCTATTCCTAAGGAAGTGAAACCTGAGGATTTAACTGGTACACCACACACATTCCTTCCACTTCTAACAGAGAGGCTGCTCCTTCTTTCCTTCACATGGCAGAAGTTCAAGAGGAGCAAGCCAACCACCTGTCCCCAATTCCATGTGAGACGCTGGAATAGAACACGTCTTTTTTTTCCCAAAAGGAATAGTCTCATGTAGTATGCAATGTGTAAGTAGATAGATGTTTTAAAAATTCCGCTTGCAAGTACCCTAAAGTAGTATTCAAAAAATGTGAACTCATTTTTACTTATTAATTTTTCCTCCCCCTAGAAACAGTCTCACACTGTCACCCATGCTGGAGTGCAGTGGCACAATCATGGCCTCTGCCTCCCGAGTTCAAGCAATTCTGTTGCCTCAGCCTCCTGAGTAGCTGGGATTACATACATGTGCCACCACACCCACCTAATTTTGTATTTTTAGCAGAGACAGAGTTTCTCTCTGTTGGTCAAGCTGGTCTTGAACTCCTGACCTCAGGTAATCTGCCCACCTCAGCCTCCCAAAGTGCTGGGATTATAGGTGTGACCCACTATGCCTGGCCTTTTTAAAAATCATGATCATTATAATCATTGTTATTATTATTATTTGAGGCGAGGTCTCACTACATTGCCCAGGTTGGTCACAAACTCCTGAGCTCAAGTGATCCTTCTGCCTCAGCCTCCCAACGTACCAGGATTACAGGTGTGAGACATCACACCCAGCCAAAAGGCATTTCTATGAGAATTTTTTAAATCTGGGAATTCACTAAGATCTCAATCTTGGCACAATTATTCTTACCTTTCTTTCTTCAGTTGACAATACTCTAAATCGAACCATTCCTTCTTTTATTATGTCTGTTTCATCTGAAAAGTCAGGATTGTCAGACAAAATATTACTTCTATTTTCTTCCAGCCACATCTGGAACCCAGTCTTTGGCCTAAAATCACAATTATGTGAAAATGTTTTATACTTAAGACAGAGTTTAAAATGCCTTGTGATTTTAAGTTAGTAATCAACCATAAGTCTTTGATACCTATATAAAGTAATGAAGACACAGTTACACTTGTTAATATTCATATTAATATATATTTTTTGAGACAGAGTCTCACTCTGTCACCCAGGCTGGAATGCAATGATATGATATCAGCTCACTGCAACCTCTACCTCCCAGGTTTAAGTGATTCTCCTGCCTCAGCCCCCCAAGTAGCTGGGATTACCTGCGTGTGCCACCATGCCGGGCTAATTTTTTGTGTTTTTAGTAGAGATGGGGTTTCACCATGTTGGTCTCAAACTCCTGAACTCCAGTGATCCGCCTGCCTCAGTCTCCCAAAGTGCTCGGATTACAGGCATGAGCCACCACGCCTGGCCTCATATTACTTTAAACTGCCTAGAGTCTGCAAGATCAATGAACTGGGAAAATCCTTTGTAAGGTCAATTCAAAAGGATCACTCACATTTGTATTTTGCAAGTGTAGCAATCATGACCTCTGTACTTTCAACTTTTCAATGAACATTGACAGGCTCAAGGTCTCCAGCCTCACTTAGCCCTTCTCTTCTAACCTGGTAAAATTCTTCCACATGTCCTTGGTAGGCTCTTTTTCCATTTCCCCAAACCTGCTATTTGAATACCTCACTTTTCTCAAGCCGCTTTCGCATCGCCTCACCCTTGCTCTCAGAGCTGACCTGCATCAGCATTAGGTAAAGCATGGACACAGCGCATCTGTACATTTCATTAGATTCCACTCATGACACAAATTGTCTTTAAGTCACACAAGTGAAGGTTTAATGCAAACATTTAACATTTATTGATCACGTACTACCTATCAGGCACTATTCTAAAAGCTTTATGAATATTACCTCATTTAAATGAAAATAACACTATGAGATAGACACAATTATTATCTCCTTTCCATCGGTGAGAAAAGCAAGGCTCAGAGAAGTGAAATAACTTATCCCAGGTTATACAAACAGTAAGAATCAGACCTAGGATTCAACAACTAGGCAATTTGACTCCAGAGTCTCTATATTTAACCCACCAGTTATATACCCCTCACTAGGCTGAACCTAAATGAATCCTAAATAACAAGTCTAAACTTTGTAATGTTTTTTAAAAAAAAATTATTCAAAAACTACTAGTATGACCATAATCACTTGCCCAATTTCTGAAAATACGCAAATTTTAAGTAATCTTAATGTAAACCAATTTCCAGGAAAATAACAGAACAAATCAAAACAAATTAAAAAAAATCAAGGCTAAACAAAGGTTCTTGAATTTCCAAAAATTACTGAAGACCCAATTTAATGAAACTTGGGGCAATGTCACTAGTCTACTAACAGCATGCAATCTTCTGCTTCTAAACAGCTATTTTTAAAAAGAAAACCAAAATAGAACATTTCTTTCTTTATTTATTTTGTTTTTTAAAGAGACGTGGGTCTCACTATGTTGCCCACGCTGGCCTCAAACCTCTGGGCTTAAGCAACACTCCTGCCTCAACCTTCTGAGTACCTGGGACTACAAGAGTGAACAGCTACCTGGCTAAAACTGGATATTTCTGATTTAGTATATCAACATCTGTGACAAAATATTTGTTTCAACAGTGATAATTCGTTAAAATTTCAAAAAGTCAGTTTTCTGTATAACTGATAGTATGAAAAGTTGAATTATCAATCTTTTTATTGGATATAACTTAATACACTTGCAGCAGAATTATCAATCTTTTGTGTTATTGCTTCAAGAAACAGCATCTTGCTTTGTTGCCCAGGCTGAAGTGCAGTGGTATAACCAGCTCACAGCAACTTCAAATTTCTGGGCTCAAGCAACCCTACCACCTCAGACTCCCACGAAGCTCAGACTACAGGCATGTGCCATCACATCTGGCTGATTTTAAAACTTTTTGTAGAGATGAGGTCTCCCTACATTGCCCAGGCTGGTTTCAATCTCCTGGGCTGAAGCTATCCAACGACATCAGCCTTCCAAAGTGTTAGGCTTGGCCAGGTGTGGTGGCTCACACCTGTAATCCCAGCACTTTGGGAGGCCGAGGTGGGCAGATCACTTGAGGCCAAGAGTTTGAGACCAGTCTAGACAATATGGCAAAACTCCCTACCAAAAATTCAAATATAAGCAGGCATGGTGGTGCACACCTGTAATCCCAGCTAGTCAGGATGCTGAGGCACAAGAATCGCTTGAACCCAGGAGGTGGAGGTTGCAGTAAGCTGAGATCGCACCACTGCACTCCAGCCTGGGTGGCTGAGTGAGACTCTGTTTCAAAAAAAAAAAAAGTGTTAGGCTGAAAAAAAAAAAGCATGAGCCACTATGCCCGGCCTATCATTTTTCTTAAATAAAATTTTCACTGTTTAAGACTTAAATTCAGAACAAAACAGGAAATGTGAAAACCACAGCTACTCCCTCAAATTAAACTGATTAACATAAAGTTATTAGGAAAATAAGATGTACTTTATTTTATTATTATTATTATTATTCTCCCTGGTCTGCTCAGCATGAAAAAATAAGATATATTATGGTAAAAATGAAATTGTGACTTTTCTTCTCTTTTTGTCTTTTTCTGAGATGGAGTTTCACACTGTTGCCTAGGCTGGAGCGCAGTGGCAAAATCTCAGCTCACTGCAGCCTCCGCCTCCTGGGTTCAAGCAATTCTCTTGCCTCAGCCTCCTGAGTAGCTGGGATTACAGGCGTGAGCCATCATACCTGACTAATTTTTGTAGTTTTAATAGAGATGGGGTTTTATCATGTTGGCCAGGCTGGTCTCAAACTCCTGACCTCAAGTGATCCACCTGCCTCGGCTTCCAAAAGTGCTGGGATTACAGGTGTGAGCCACTGTAGCAGGCCAAAATTGTGACTTTTCAAATTTAACAGACACATTAAAAATAAATCCAGCATAGTAGAGATCAAGAACATTGGTAACATATTGTGTTTATGGACAAAGAATATGAACAAACAGGAACACTCATATTGCTAAAGGTGTATAAAATGATACATCAATGCAGAACAATTTAGCATTGGAATTGTAAGTGCACATTAACTTGAACCATACCTGAATCCACCTTATGGCTATATATGCGTCTGTGAGAAATGCTATTCATATAAAATTATTCATTGCAATACTGTCTGTACTAGCAAAAGACCAATAACCATCTTTCATCCACAAGTAGAGAACTACATGAACTATGACATATCTATTCAATGGATGGAAAAGATTATCAAGCTCCTATTTTTCTATCCATCCATTTATGCATTTTTGTGATAGCCTTGCTATAGTATGAAGAAGTTTTTTACGTAGTAATATAAAATAAGCTGCAAAAACTATTGTTAAGTGAAAAAAGTAAGGTACAGAATAATGTGTAAAACAAAAAAAAAATAAACAAGCATGTATTTGTACATGAATAGAATAATTTTGGAAAGCTCCACAAGAAACTTGTTGAAGAGACTGTTTTGGGAGACAGAAACTAGTTGGATGAAACTACTTTTCCTCACACATCTTTTTGTATCTTTTGCTGTTTCTCGCCATTAAACTATTTTAAAGCAAACAAAAATTAATTATAAAATATAACATCCCTATAAAATATACCTACAACTTAAAACATATAATTTATTAAGGTATATTTTAATAAATACTGTAAACAGACCTTAATATTTGTGGCTTCCTTAAAGTCACAAGTGTCCAGAATGCCCACTACCAATGCCAATGTATTATTTATATTAAGGAATAACAGTGTTGCATAATTTTGTATTGTTGGGAAGGAGGCAGAGGAGGGGTAAGAAAAACAAAAGAAAAAAAATTTTTGCGGCCAGGCGCGGTGGCTCAAGCCTGTAATCCCAGCACTGTGGGAGGCCAAGGCGGGTGGATCACGAGGTCAAGAGATCAAGACCATCCTGGTCAACA